ACCAATGATCGTATAGTATTCACATCGTACCATAATAAAAAACCACTCAGACACTTGTTGCTGGTCACGTGAACTGGTTGCTGTAGACACGTATTCAGCTAGACCAAGGAGAGACATTTTTGTTAAGTTAGTCATAACTGTTTTGTGATCTTGACTGGAACCTTGGGCGTGCTGGAATCTTTTGCAAGTTATTTTTGTTCTGTTTAACCATGACTGTTCCCGTACTGAATCTAACTTTATTTGGAACATAAAGACATCTATAAAACATATAAAACCTTATAAAAACCTTTTCAAAGTGTTTTGGGGTTATTCTAGTTGTCTCTTACTTTCTCTCTGCTTTTAACCTTGTAGCAAAGCCTTTCCCTCTTCAAGCGCCCCACTGCTATATTTCTGCATTATTATATTATATATTATAGACGGCTGGTCAGGACTGTATATAATGGCTCCTCCTACAGGACACAGTTTGATCACTTTGTAATTTCAGAAGGACAAAAAACAACCTAGAATTTCTTGATTTTTTCACAACAGATTTTTGATGAAGTTTTAGACTTGCTGAACATGTTGCAACATTTTGGAGGACAAAAGCCTGACCTCGAGATTTCTCTTTTTGAGCCTTAAACAACAGGTAAATTATACATTGTAACAAAATTTTCTTGTGTGATTTTATTTAGTCTATTGCTAAGCTGCGAAAATAATGATAAACGTGTCTTTTTATGAAGTACCTCAAATTAACACGCTGGTTTATAGGTTGTTTTGCAGGTTTTTTTTTGGAGGTTTTTTATTTTTGTTTTGTTGCAAATCAAGTGTTTTTGGGTCAAGACGGCGTATCATGTTTAATTAATTTTTATTTTTCTCAGAAAAATGAGGTCCAGAAGAGTTTGTCCTGAAAAGTAAGCCTTACAGTACATTTCATTGCTTCTGCGAAGGACAAAGACATATTTCAGAGGAAACTGATTAGCAAATTGAAAGGTATTTTTTTTAGCTTTAATGATTTTCTGTTCAACATCTTCAAGTAGATTATCTATTTTAAAAAAATCTCTGTTGAGCTAGTATGGCAGTGCAAATACTTGCAGTCTGTGTATAATGTAAGTTAAATTGTGATTTAAAATATTATGGTTCATCTAATTGTGTGATATATTTTTGATGTGTGTTTATATACTTCAACTGAATTCATGGCTTGTGGATGGGAATGTTGTGTGTAAAAACACAGATGTGAATGCTTATTTTTGTAATTTGTTTATTTAGCTTGTAGAGGTACTTTTACGACCCGCTGTTGGACAGGTGGGGTAAAGGAACCGGAGCTCCTGGGAGCAACAGGAGATTACATGTTCATAAACAGGACCACACTTTGAAGGGGACTTATGGGCTGCCGTTTGTAAAGTTACACAGTCAAAAAT